ATAGGTAGACATTACAGTTTGTTGCCATTAGATAGTCATCAGTCACAAAGTACTGACTATATAATGAAATTATATTATATATAAATTATATTTATATAAATTAAATACAAAATAAAACAAATATCAAATTAATAAAACAAAATAAGTAAATAAATTTACTTCAATTTGAAAGTTAATTAATCTTTAACAATTATATCACTACATAATCACTACAGTAAGAGCATTGGTTGAAAAAATAAATAAAAACAAAGAAAGAGGCTGAGGTGTTTCACCACAGCATGTAATTATGAGAACAGAAAGTGGAAATGGCCATATCTTGATGGTGGTTATTGTGTGAAAATCCAATAAAAAAAGCTTGTGGCTCTTTTGAAAAGCAGGCAGATAATTAAAACCTAGGATCACTCTACGGTGAAGAAATTGGCAGGCCGCTTAGGACCTGCTGGTGACGGAAATGTAAAAGAAATCAATGTAGCTGTTTGAAAGCTTGATCTGTCACAATGACTTCACAGACTGAGAGCAAGAAGACAGTGAACCAAGTGCGAAATACAGCGAGACATAAAGAGGTCTTCATAGTAAAATTCAACATTGCACTACAGGCAAAGGCTTGACATAAATGTAGCATGACAAAATGCATGGGGTTACGCATGAAAGCACATCTGCATTCACTAGATGCAGCCAAAGGACATAAAAAGACCTCACAGACTCACATTAGACATATATTTATATTATATGTGTTATAATGTCAGGTCTTTATTTAAGTCTGCAGAGTTGTTCTCAGTGGAAAGGAATGGTTTCCTTGCATTTAGATTACCTGACAGCAAGGCCCAGTGCAAAGTCCATGAGAGAAGTTTCCATGACAATAAAACCGAAGGTCTATCTATAGCGCTGACATTTCAAATTATATATGTGTGCATGTACCAGTATCATTAGCCATTATATGTTATTTCAGTCAAACTCTACAGCACTTTTACAGAAAGCCACTTTCACTTTTCACAGTCTGTGAGCAGAGCAACATTTTCTCATTCTCAAACATTTTCTTAAGTATTTATAATGCTAGTTCATGAAAAGTTCATTCATAAACAATGAAGCTGGAAAGTCATCCAGATATGATTTAGCGATGTTTTGCTAAGTAGAGCAATACTGTTTCCACTGAATATGCGTATTAACTTTTACGGGACCCATATCGAGAATATCATAGACTTGGCGGTGGGCACTTTCGCCGTGGGTCAGTAAGTAACAACCTAGAAATGCCCTGGCAACCAACCACAACAAGCTAGCATTGTGACTTTGGGCTTTGCATGAACAATCACCACACAAACTTACTGTTGGCCCTAACTTTATTCACAGAGGGGGAAAAAAAGCGAAAATAGCAAAGTCTTATGACTTTGGATCTTTTATTATTTTAAGTTGTGGCCTAATGGTTAGAGACTTGTAACCCGAAGGTTGCAGGTTCGAGTCTCAGTACCGGCAGGAATTGTAGGTGGGGAGAGTGAATAACACACACATGCTACTGTGCAAAAGTCTTAGGCCACTAGTATTTTCACCAACAAAAATGGTTTTAAGTCACTTATTTCTTTCTTTTGCTGTAGTGTGCCAGTAGAATATATCAGTTTACATTTCCAAACGTTAATAGAAGTTAATTGACAAATACAATCTATTTTTGACATTATTTTTGAAAGCATCCTCATTTCACAGCATTTCTACACAAGTGCCTAAAACTTTTCACAGTACTGTAGCTTTGCAGGTAAGTTTATCGAAGCATCTTGGAGATGTTGCCACAGTTCTTCTGGATTTAGTCCATATTTAGTTTCTATCTAAATAGAAACTAAATATGGGTCTTCTTTGGGGCAAATCAGGGGCGTAGTGAATATTACAAACAAAACTTACAAATAGAACAACTCTTTCAAGAGAATCTAAATAGTCACTTTTGTAGCCACTAGGTAAGCCACTTTGACTTCATTTTCTCTGAAAGAACGGTTCAGTTCAATTTGTCACATGACTTTTTGATGCGTTTCCAAACGTGGAACAGGTATTTGACGCAATTCTTTCTCTTTTCCTCTGTGCATTTATTACTGGCATTATTCACACCAGTGGCTCTCAAAGGCACTGCTTCCATACCAAAAAAAAAGCAGGTGTTGTGTAAGCGTGACCTCAGCACCTTGAGCAGTGCATCTGTATCTGAACATCTGGCCGATGTAATGCCGATGTAAGCGAGATGGGATGGACAGCTCACAGCTGCGAGGTCAGACAACCTTTGGCCTCTCTTGTTGATGTTCAGGAGCAGCTTCCAGCAGGGAATGCCTGTCATGTCAGTAGGCCGCTGTGGGCCCTGACAAACATGCCCTAGCTGTACCCTGACTGAGAGGAGCCATATGGCAACGGAGGCAGAACGAACATGTCCCGTGAACAAAGGTGTTGGAGCGTCAAGCGTCTGCGGCGCCTTGTACCCTGATCACTACACGAATGTTCAAACTGTGAATTTATTGGTGTAAACGAACAATTGGATTTCATGACAAAGAATGTATGGGATGGATTGAGATTGATTTTGTTGTGTCTTATAGCTGTCACACCATAGTCAAATTGTCTGTCAAATTGCTTGTCGTTGAAATCTTATTGCATTGCATTTTGTTAGGACATGGTGTGAAAGTCCTTACTAGGGCTGCACGATAAATCGCATGCGATATTTAACGCGCATCTTGTCAGAAAGCCGGTTCTGTAATCAGCGGTAAATCTCCAACACCTGCGGGCTTTCACATTGAGCAGCATTAACTTCACAGAGCCGTTGTTCACTGACGAGCTGCGCAAAAAATCGTGCAAATATGAATGTGGTTTTGCGCAGCTAAAATAATATTAATATAATAATATCACATGTAATATTTTAATATTAAATATTACATGCGATTTATCGTGCAGCCCTAGTCCTTACAATCAATACATTTGTGAATACCTCATACAATTTATTGCACACTGTTCCTTATGCTGGACGGATAACCATGTGACCAACCAATAAAACAACAAGCCAATTTATTTTCTACACAACCATTAGGGCAGGTATTTTGGAAATTGAGGAATCACAATGATAAATTTCATAATTCTTGGTACATAATGTAAAATAACACTGTTAATTTAATGATTTTAGCAAATTTCTGAACATATTATTAAGATGTGTGGTATTACATAACTGGAGAATATTTGCTAAATGGTAGGCCATACCTCCAATAATAACATTAAAATAGCAACTACCGAGCAAGAAACAGTTACAGTACACACATATCCAACATGATCATTAACCGTAAACTTCATAATTACTCACAAAGCTTAAGTTATTGTTTAGCTGAAAACTGGTGAAGAATAAAAAAAAATTAAAAAAAGCAAGTGTTGTATGAATGAATCTCAAATATCAATTGTTCCCTTTCATTGGTTTCTTTGCAAACCACTTCCAAACCCCATTTGAATGTCTAATAGAAGACATTATCTGTAATCAAGAGAGGATAAACACAATAAATGTGACAGGCGAAAAGCTCTGGAGCCTGACAATGTGAAGGTTACTCAAGAACAAGCCTGAGTATAAAGACTTCCACTGATAATGCTCACTCACCAGGCTCATTAAACCAATGTTAGCGTGCTTGTCTCTGTAAAATATATCACACTACTCAATTCAAAAGCACTAGACTGATGCAAACTAGAGGAACATCTAGTTTTAGCGGGTTTCAGGTGAGTACGTCTTGTTTTTTGTCTGTGGAGACAGATGTGGGTAAAGCACATCAGCCTAAAGGTAGCTGTCTTCGTGCTCAGAAAATAGATTTATTTAGTGGAAAAGCAGAAATTATGTTGTGATCAGCCTCTTTTCAACCTTATTTTCCTCTGACAGGTCTCGTATATAACTGAATAATCAAACTGGAAGAGACAAAAAAGCTTTTGCTGGAACAAATGTATAGAATCGAGCAGGCAATCAAAACAGAAGTGGAGGAAAGATCAAGCAGCTCTATATATAGCGTAAAAACTGATGAGAATGAAACACACACAGTCTCTCTCTATTCCCCACCTAGACACAAAGTGAGTGGGGCAAAAACCATCAACAATACGCTCTGACTGCAGTCTTTCTCTCAGAAATTAAAGCAATCATTGGGTCTAATGCAGGCTGAGGAGATAGAGGCCTCGTGCGGGAGGAGAGGAGAGGGCTTCCTGTCTCAGAGAAATGGGCATTGAATACTGATTACGGTCACCTAATAGAAAGTAATGAGAGAGGCTTATGCTCCAGTGCCTTTTGCTTTCCTGGCCAGAGCAGCGAGCGCTCTCCACTAAAGGCCAAAGCACTGGTGCACTGATTGGGGCTGACACTGGAGCTGAAGGGGGCTGGGGGGTATGGGTTAGTCAGAGACAGAGAGAGATAAAGAGAAAGAGAGAGAGGACACAGGCAGAAAAAAGGAGAGTGCAGATCTAAGTAGGGTGTGCTTCACCAAGGGTACGCACCATCAATTCGGCTGACCAGCTCCTCCAGTGCCTTCACTTTCCTCTGGATCCCAGGCTGGGCAAAGGTGTAGTTGTCCTTGAAGGAAAGAGAGAGAGAGATGAGAAACTTAAAACTGTACACATATTTGCCCAATAAAATACACAACATAAACACAAATTTGCTAAATATAAACTGTGGGGAAAAAATGTAAAAAAATGTTTAAATTTTTTTTTTTTTTTTAATTAATTAGTTAATTCTTCCTAAATGCCTTTAAAGGGACTTTATTATGCCCCTTTTTACAAAATGTAAAATAAGTCTCTGATGACCCCAGAGTGTGTATGTGAAGTTTTAGCTCAAAATACCCCACAGGTAATATTTATAGCTTGTTGAAATTGAGAAAGAGAGAGAGAGATGAGAAACTTAAAACTGTACACATATTTGCCCAATAAAATACACAACATAAACACAAATTTGCTAAATATAAACTGTGGGGAAAAAATTTAAAAAAATGTTAAAATTTTTTTTTTTTTAATTAATTAGTTAGTTAATTCTTCCTAAATGCCTTTAAAGGGACTTTATTATGCCCCTTTTTACAAAATGTAAAATAAGTCTCTGATGACCCCAGAGTGTGTATGTGAAGTTTTAGCTCAAAATACCCCACAGGTAATATTTATAGCTTGTTGAAATTGCCACTTTTAGGGTATGAGCCAAAACGCGCCATTTTTGTGTTTGTCCCTTTAAATGCAAATGAGCTGGTGCTCCCATCTCCCTTTTCAGAAGAGGGCAGAGCTTCAAGATCTCATGCTCCGGCATACCAATGCTGGCCTTTGCAAATAAACATACCACTATTAGTACAAGCCTGTTATCTTTACAGAAATCATACTCTGTTCAAAAGTCAGTCATCTGATTGTAATATGCATAATAAATGCGCATTTATGAATTACACAGATGGGGAGCACGGCACAATAAAAATGACATAGCTGGTCTCATGGTGCCTAACTTTACTAACTCTAAGGCCCCGTCCACGCGGAGACGCGTTTAGCTGTATACGCATACATTTTGTATCATATAGGCGTTTCGTCCAGATGGATCCTGCATTTTGGGAGAGTGAAACCAATATTTTTTTTAAACCAGGTCCCAGAGTGGATAAATCTGAAAACGCCACCCATGCGTTTTCATGTGGACAGCGAATCCGTATATTTTCTGAAACTATGACGTCATCAGCCCACGTCTCGCCCCAAGTCAGACACCGCTACGTCACGTAACAGCAACAAAAAAAATTAACAAACACTGAACGATTGTCTTTTTTATTAACTAACATTAATAGATTAATTAATGTATTGTTCCATGTTCGTTTGTATACCGCATGCAAGGTTTATGAGCATAGTCCAAGTCTTATTCTACGTTTTAGTGTATCTTGCTACGTCATGTAACAGCAACAAAAAAAATTAACAAACACTGAACGATTGTCTTTTTTTATTATCTAACATTAACAGATTAATTAATGTTTTGTTCCATGTTCGTTTGTATACCGCATGCAAGGTTTATGAGCATAGTCCAAGTCTTATTCTACGTTTTAGTGTATCTCTGTGGCAGAATTACAGCGCCACATGCTGGTCTGGCATGTATACTACAGTGTTTTGTGTCAGTTTCGCGTGGACGCAGATATTTCTTAGGAAGAGGAGAGAAAAAAAGATCGGATAGGGAAAGCTCTGGCTTCGTGTGGACCACTCCCACTTGTGTCCCACTTGTGATTATTTTAACTACCACATTCCTATTTACGATCAATCTGTTATCACACAGTCAGGTGTAAAATGATTAGCACAAACATGTAGGACTTTTCAGTTTGTTTGTGTTTTCCAGGACATTTCCTTCGAAAATGAAATTTAACCACTGTGTCCTCAGCGGCTCAGGTGGAGGGAGTCTATGGAGACTCCTATGTTCGTTGATAAATCCCAACACACAACACTTTTAATGCCTCTTTGGTGCTGACATTGTATCTCCAGCAGCTACAGCAAGAAGACAGTATTGGCGGACTGCTGCTTCTCACTCAGGGCTGTGTCTATGCTAATAGGGCAGAGAGCGTCACAAATGGCCAGGACTTTTTCCCTACGATGAAGTAGGGAGAAATCTGGAACCGCTCATTTGGAGAGACGGTTTATGATTTATTGGGATTATAAAAAAAATAGTGGGTGGAGTTTTACCATTATAGGCTGGTTGTTTTCACACACTGCAGCCACACAACTGTGTTCAAACACCTTATAAAAGAGATTTTTGCATAACAGATCACCTTTAAATCGGAGTCTGCTTTGTGACAACACTTGCTTTACATGTTTTGGATTTACTTCATTCCATTGTTACTGGATCACAAGTTTAAAGCACTGTTACTTATTAGGAGTTGTTTATGATAATGTTATTATGAGTTTAAGTTTACAATAAAACTTGTTACAAGTGCAAGATTATTACAATGATATTTACGTTTACACCAATTTCATAAATGTGTAATGAGTAACCTTGCCATAAACCCCAACACAATCGGCATAAAATCATGTAAAATAACTGGTGTAAACTATTAATGAGTAATAATTATTAGATATTTATGACAGTTAGTCTTTATAAATCTTCATACTGCAGCAGTTTTACTCATTGTTTTAAAAAGGTTACATATGAATTCAAAAGTTATATCATTGTTACTGCAAAGTTATTTTTTGTCTAATGAGCTACAGTTCTTTGGTGTAAAGTTGTTATTTCTATTGCAACAATTACTTGGTAAAAGTAATGGTTAGACAATTTCTTGGAACTAGCACACACATTGAACACACCCCATACATATGCATATGTATGCAAAAGAACATGCACCACCGCCCATCCACACTGGGAAAGACATTGTGTGCTAGCAGAGCTCAAATGCGTGCTGGGAATAGTGATCTTATAATTAAGTGATAATATTCATCAAGGTCCTGTGGCCCACAGTGCAGCTTAATTAACACATTCATTTCAGCCTACATTAAAAGACCATTCTTGACCAGACAGCTACTTAAGAGGCCCCCACCCACCTCCATCACTCCCCAAGCCTCAGTGGGATTCCCTCTGCGCTCCTGCTGGAGGAAACTTAGCCTAGCTATACTGCCCATAGAAACAGAGCACAGGTTCAGCTGTCGAGAGCCAGCATAAAACAAGCAGTGGGTTAGGGATGATAAATTGGGTGGTTTGCTATGCTGAGATTGTCAGGCATGGATATAACCAAAAGAAGCTGAAGACCCATCATTCACAGCCATAAAACTGCTGATGTGAAGAAGGTATGCAATACAAAGAAAACAGCAGATGGAGTCTGCATGTATGCATTGCACGGAAGAGGGACATTCAGCCATAAATATGTCCAAAGATATCTGCTGTGAAAACACCTCCCTAAACCAAACATTGTGAGGAGAAGATGCAGCATATGAAAGAGCAAATTCGTAACTTGGAAGGTCATATAAATGTGTGTAGGACAGACCGTTATATCACGCTTAATGGGGACACCTTCATACGAACTCTTGAAGCTTAAGTACATTTAGTGACAAAAGACATCCGTAATTGTATAGGGACTATATTCAAATGGCTAGCTAGCCTTTTCCTTTGCATCACATTGTACTGATATCAGTATTATCTCAATGGCTTTATATTCCAATCAACTTTCACTGGATCAACCACTAAGTGGCTCTTTGAGGGATCTGAAATTTGTCATGAGGTAATGATGGCAGGAGACTTAATTATACACTTTGTACAATCACCTAATTGCTTGCCAAATATCATGGTCCTCTGTACCTTGGCAACCCCAACAAGTGCAAATACCCTGGACTGAACAAAGAGATGTATTTTTGTAATCAGTCTTCAACTTGCAAAGGTGGACAGACAGACATTCTGCACTATGTAAGTAGGTCTATGGGTCTATCTTTGATGAGACTTCAGAGAGCCAGGATGCTTCAATGTAGCCGGGGAGCAGCTGAGGCGGCAAACACCCGCGAGGGGAGAGAAGTCATTAACCGATAAACAATTCCAGCTGTCCTTCAAGCTCAGATGTGCAGCCTCGACACTCCAGAGGTGCCTTAGATGAATACATGAATAGCTGGATCCCGACCATTAAAACCAGCCGCCTCCTCTTTGCAGTGACCTCGAAACAGGACTTTAAAACGGCAGCACAATGAGGCGGCACTGAAACAGATGGGGTGTCGGTAGCCGAGTCCATGCTTGGCCTACTTTCACAGGTCTACACCTAATCTTCAGCTGGAGCACTGACCCTGGAGGATGCTTGTGGCTCAGCGAACATTAACGCACTAGCCGGGCTAATCTATCTCTGCAGGAGTCTCTGAGAGTTAGGGCAAAGCGGCCGTGCTGTGGGGAAAGGGGTGAGAGTCACGATTCGTGATGCAGTCACAATCAGGTCAGATCTGAGAACATATTACAAGGGCATCTCGTGGGCAAAGACTTGACTCCAACTCGTGCATACCTACCAAGTGCTAAGTGCATGCTAACAGTCAAAACTGACTCAGAAACAACACTCCATTGGGATACTGAGCCAAACCCGACACTATCAGTTTAATTTTGTTTCTCTACTACTATACAATGCACATAAACTGTTGACAATGTCATGTCCAAGAGACATTTCTCTGGAAGGTTCAACAAGCAAAATGGAAAATTACCAATGAAGAATAACTTAAATTTTGATCTGTTCATCATCCAAAGCAAAGTTGCACACTGGACAGGAAGCATCACACCACATCACGTCACTAAAGGACAGGTCCTGTAGCTCGACTGAACACTGTATTTTCATAAGTTTCATGATGATTCACTAGACTTTTAAGGGTTTCCTTGTGGAAGATGAGGACGTCATGGTATCCCTAATTCCATGTTTGATGTTTAAAGCCTAAAGTATACTTCAACCGCCCGCGTTCTGCGATGGTCCATGCACTGTCCTAGTGATGACATTTTCGTCATCAGAAGTGTCTGCACAATGTCTGCGTGCAGCCCAATTTTTGTGACCGCGCAGTTGACACAGAACGAATCAAGTAGGTGGTACTGCTCATGTGTCAAGCTCGTCCATCCACGATCATTCG